TCACTCCATGTTAGTGAAGGCAGAAACCTGAGCTCGAAGAACATAAGAAAGTCACTCAAACACCATCTTGATGGTTTCCTGATAGCTTTGGTTACAGATAGAAATTTTTTTCCTATTATACTTGGTCTTTTTTTAAGATTGGGCATAGTTGCTTAGCAAGGCTGTGTTAGTTTCTGCTATATAGCAAAGTGAATCAGCTATATGTACACATATATCCCCTCTTTTTTTAACTTCCTTCCCATTTAGATCACCATAGAGCATTAAGTAGAGTTCCCTGTGCTGTACAGTTTGTTCACATTAGTTATATATTTTATACATATTAGTGTGTATATGTCAAATTCCCAATTCATTCCACCCTCATCCTCCACTTTCTTGGTATCCATACATTTGTTCTCTACATCTGCGTCTCTATTTCTGCCTTGCAAATGGTTCATCTAGATTTTTCTAGATTCTACATATATGAATTAGTGTATGATACTTGTTTTTCTCTTTCTGACTTACATCACTCTGTATGATAGGTTCTAGGATAGAGCTAGATTTTTTGACTCTGATTTCCAGGCCATCCTTAGGTGCAGTTGTCATTTTTCTAAAATACAGTAATGCAGGGAGCTCATACTAGCAATATGTAGCAACAATGAACTGACAGTTACCTTTTTTAAGAAAAGAATCTAAGAGAATATATATTGATATGCTTTTTTTTTTAGTGTAAAGTATTTATTTGTTATATAAATTGGCTTAAAATGAATGAAAGAATACAAGTGCAAAATATAGAAATGACAAAGGGCAGCATGTCAACTTATCATGAAACACTTTGTAAATTTGGAATAAGATGCTATAATTATATATTAATATTTTCCAAAAGTGATTCACTGACAAAAAATTGATATTAAAATAATGTGCACATTTAAACAGGTATTCTACCACCACTGCCACACATGAATAATTTAATGATCATTAAAAAAGTGGCTGCCCAGATGCTGCTCTTTGTTTGCTCCTGACTGAATCAGACTGAAAAAGTGCTGACGGCTGAGACTGGATACCCCAGGCTCCCCTGCGCTCCTTTCTGGCTGGCTGTCCGGGCCTGGGAGCAGACTGGGGAGACAGGAAGAGGGCAGCCAAGATGCTTCTCCCTTTCTCTCTTGTCTCAGGTGTCCCCTCAGGCCCCAGCAACATTTCCTCTACGGTGCACATTCTCCCAGGCAGGCCCACCTGGTCTGACTTTCTCCAGTTCTAGAAATGCTGCCACCTTCCTCTGCCCTCTGGCCCAGAGAGTGGGCTTTCTTGCTGATCTAGCAAAGGTCTCAGTGGCCACACCCACCCCTCTTTGACTTCTCAGCTCTGTCATCCTGGTGGGTCAGCCCCTCACCACTTTGACCAGCCCAAGTGGTTTCTCTGTCCTGGTTAGGCTCCAATCACCACAGCTGGAAATGGAACACCACTTGGCAAAATTGCCCGCCTCCTCCTTTGCCTATTCTCTCTCCCTGGCCTTTCCTTCTTGGTCTTATCTGAATTTTCTTCCTAGAAGAGGTCTAAAACTTGGCCCCATAGGTTAACAGAAATGACTGAGAATTTTTCTTAGAATGTTTTCTCTAGAGTGAATCTACATTTAACTCAGTTTAGCACCTTAAATGTAGTGATAAAGCACATTGGTAGCACCAATCAGTGGTAGAAAAGCTGTTTAAATTAAATTGTACCTTGTGTTGACCCTAAACATGGCATTAACTAGGAAGCAACTGACTTAGATATAGGTCCATCTTTGATCCAAACTTCAAGCTAATCAATGAAATGATGAATAAAAAAGAAGAGAACATGGGGGTATAAATACAAATTATGTAAATATGAACATTTATGGAAGCATGTGTTATGCATGGAGTACTGTGCTAATTGAGTTTCATGCATTATTTCATTTAATTGTCACAGTAATCTAGCAAGATAAATACGATTCTTAATTTGAAATGAAAAAAAAATGAGGTTCAAAGAGGTTAAGTAATATGTCAAGGTCAGAGTTAGCAAACTCAAGCCAAGATTTAGGGCCAAATTTTCTTTTTCTGCCCATGTTATTTCAGTTTTGCCAAGTACATGATGAGCTACAGAGATTAAAAAACCATTGGGCCATGCACTGGATGGAAACCAAAGAGGAAGTATTTCATTTGTCCCCAGAATGCTTAGAGTATTTGGAGCCAATATTTAAAAATTGAAAAAGTGGGAGATCAAGAACAAATAGGCTGCATCCAGTAAGACATATGGGCCTCTGGCTTGTGGAGAGGCCCAGGCTTTCATTTTTACAGCCTTCCTTATATTTCTTTCATGGCTTCTCAGCATTTTTCTTTACATATCTGCTTCACTAGCTCATGCTGTCTAGTTGCCCTTGTATGCATTTAAGATCCCTGCTGAAATGTTTATGAATAGCATTAGTTTCTGAAAACTGGGGTTCTAGTTCCATTTCTGTGAGCAGAAAATAAGAAGTAACAGAGAGCCTGGACTGGAATATCATGGTTTGAATCTCAGTTGTGTGATGGTCTAATTGCATGACCTTGGGCAAATCAATTATCCTTTTATTATCTCAAGTCCTCCATTTATTAAATGAGTATATCATTAGGGCTAATCACATAATGTTATTATGAAGATAAGTCATTATTTACAAAGAGCAAATAACAGTGCCTATATCCTAATACATACATGTGTACATGTATCCTTTTGCCAACAAAGGTCTGTATAGTCAAAGCTATGGTTTTTCCAGTAGTCATGTATGAATGTGAGAGCTGTACCAAAAAAAGGCTGAGTGCTGAAGAATTGATGCTTTCCAACTGTGGTGCTGGAGAAGACTCTTGAGACTCCCTTGGACTGCAAGGAGATCAAACTAGTTAATCCTAAAGGAAATCAACCCTGAATATTCATTGGAAGGACTGATGCTGAAGCTTAAACTCCAATACGCTGGCCACCTGATGCAAAGAGCCGATTCATTGGAAAAGACCCTGATGCTAGGAAAAATTGAGGGCAAGAAGAGAAGGGGGCAAGACAGGATGAGATGGTTGGCTGGCATCACTAACTCCATGGACATGAGTTTGAGCAAACTGAGGGAGATAGTGATGGACAGAAAATCCTGGTTGCTGTAGTCCATGGGGTCGCAAAGTTTTGGACATGACTTAGTGACTGAACAACAACAACATTGGATATAAGATATACACTCACACAAGCATATTTTTAAAAAATAATTACCTGAAAGTCAGTGTGTCTTACTGAAAAACAATTCAAGACGGAGTCAGGAAAATGAGAAAAATAAAAGACTTGACATTTTGGGTTCCCTGTTACTGTATTGGCATCAGCAGCAATTTTATGGCAGTGAGAACAGAATCTGATAATATGTACAGAATTCTTCAACCTTGAGATGAGTACATAAATGCACAGGGGTATTTCAGTTTTAGATGTCAGACCAATCAGCTTATATACATTGAGACTCTGTCTTTTACAATGATAGGTTCTGGATGGGGAGATTAAGAAGTATAGATCATGCTCCTCACTGTGCAATGGCATACAATTCATTACAATTATAGTAATTCTGTATAATTCTAGCATATAACATCTTCCATATTGAGGCAAAAATACCTTGATAAAACACAAATGAAATCCTATGATATTTCTTTCTAAATCCTTCAGTTACTTCATTTTATTCAGAATGGTGTTCTATAACTTGCTTTTTAATTTGGAAAAAAAGTGTAGGCATGCTGTTTTATACTTAATAAATATAGTGGCAGAAAAAATAAAATATAAACATTGTCATTTTAAAAAGATTCATGTTTTTAAACAACTGTAACTTTAATAAAAACTTTGACTTCTTATGGCCTGGTCTCCGCATGCAATGAAGTTCAAAGGATACCAGTCTGAACAGTTAGTAGCAATTTTAAATGAATTTTAATATTTATTTAATTTCTCAAAAGATAGTGATAAATAGATTTATTTAATTTCTTAAAATTCATTACTTACAGCCAACTTGCCAAAGCCTTTTCCTCTATTTTGCCGTTTGTTTTAAGCCCTGGGTTACTTTCAAACTTCATTAGAAGGCATCATTCAAGGTCCATTTACTCCCCCCTTTTGAGGCCTTTCTTATTCTTATATCCAAACACCAAATTCTTTGTTATTTAGATCAAGTTGATTTCTCAGAAACTGTCCTATTGTCTTTTCTGCCTTTCAGTCATTTCTCTATCTACCATTTCTTTGTATTCTAGCTTAATAAAGAAAGTCTTAGCAAAGAGCTACTGAAGGCTACTTGACATTGGTTTTTCTAGCCCAAATAGTGAGAAAGATTCAGTATAATCTAGGTTACTGTCAGCTGTTAAACCTGATGCTTTATTTTCACAGCCAGAAGTGATGAAAAGTCAAATTCCTAAGTGTACATCTTTGGTGAAAAGTCACGATCGTCATAACAGTTATCACCACAAATATCAACCTCTTTTTCATTATCATCAGCATCATTCTTATTCTTTTTTTTTTTTAATGTACTATCTGCCAGCTCTCATACTAAGTCGTCCATGGGGTGATAAATCCCACAATAATCCAGAAACTAATTCCTCCTTTTTCATGAGACTTCTACCTCAAGGCCTGAGATGAATTTACCAGCTTCAAAATCATGTTCACATTGCACTCACAGCAGAGAGGGATAAGAAAAGTAGAAGGCAACAAGAAGGGATGGAAGGGATAGAAGGAATAGAAGGGATAAGAAAAGTACCTCTTTTTTAAGGTAAAATTGGAAACTGTATTAATACATTTTAGCTAAACTTCAGGGTGTTATTATTATAAAAGAAGATATAGCAGAACAGCTGATGGTCACAACCAAAGGGATCTTGCTGAATTTTTGGTGTGACACAGGGCTCAGTATAAAGTTTATTCCCCTTAAAAGCTCATCAGTTGAAAGAATAAACTCTGAGATGTAAGAGAATCTTGAGGAACTGTTGACTTCATAAAGGTTTCTTGAGGTAGATCTTTTTGCTGAGTTCTGAAGACTGAGATCTGACTGGGCAGAGACAGAGAATAGGCAATTCATGCTGGATTTCCCCTAGAGGAAAGACAGAGGCAGTATAGGTTATATGTAGGGGTCTGTGAGGACAAAAATCTGACTAAATGCTGCCAATTGCTTGGGATGAGATAAGACACTGACAAGACTCTTCTTGGCCAGTTTAATGAAGCTCCTTGGAATGTTCTTCTCAACTAGGCCTCAAACTTTGGCCTCTGTGTCTGTCTTCCTTTTCCCTGTTTTGGCAAGAATCTTGTCATTTTATCTAGATTGAAAACCCTTGATATCTGATCATCCTCAATACCTGAGCAAGCTTCTCATGCCCCACAGTCTCCCAGGTAATAGCCAGTCATCCTGGGCTGCCTTCAGACAGAGTCCTCTTAGGCCTGTTTAATCAGAGTCCCTGTTTCCTTTTAGTAGCTCTTCACCTACAGACCTCCCCACGATCCAACTTGCTCCTTGGCTCCAAACTCCCCCACTAGGCCTTGCCTTGCAACCTGTTCTATCGTGAGGTATCTTTCCCCCACTGTAAGAGTTCCTCAGTAAAAGTGACTTTTACTTCTTTTCTGACCTGCTCTGGATTCCTTTGACAATACTTGGGGATTGTCAAGACGGGGAAGGTCTCCAGATCTAGATAACAGAACTCTGACTTAACTTGTTAAATGAAACAGTGAGCTGTAATAGAGTCTTGATTAAGGGGATTCCAGAACCCAAATCACCTTCTAAGCTGGGACCAGCAGCAGTGTGTGAGATAGAGATTGGAGAGAGCTGGGGGAAGACAGCCTCTTTCTTGGTATTTAAATCTAAACATATGACAACTTCAATGAAGTAGGAGCAGAGAAACTAGCAAAGCATTAAAAGGAAGACTTGACTGAATTATTTTTCCTTAGATATTGAATTTAAAGAAGAGTGAGCAGTTGAAGAAAACCTTAAATTGTCTAGTCTTGGAGGCTTGGATCATAACAATGCTGTTTCCAGGAAAGAGGAAGCTGGAACAAAAACAGAGATGCCTTAGGAGAAGATAATAGATGTTTTAAAACCAGGAGAAGAATCGTACACCTGATTTGAGGTGTTTGAAATAGAAGTGCAGTAGGAGGTGCACATCAGAGGTCTCGAAGTTTGGTCTGCAGAGACAGGGATTGAGCTCTGCAAGGTGCATCGGTGGGAGCAGTTATTACCTCACAGCACAGTCCTCACCGTCTTTGTACAAGACAGGAGTTCACTGTTGAGCTAGAAATCTGATGGCACAGGACATATCTAGACTTATTGCTGTATGCCCTTCAGCTGGAGTGAATGGAGACAAGGCTGTACATGGAGGCCTCCTGCCGTAAGACAAATCAGTTCCTGAAGTGACTGGGTTTACTTTTGTTCTCCTTTGTTTTTCAACTAGTTTTCGAGTTCCTGAGACAACCATGTGACTATTCGAAGCCCCTACATGAGTTTTTGCAGTGAATCTAAAGGGACTTCTATGTCAGCCTCCCTGGACTTACAGGTTTGTTTTACTAATAAACCACTGATCAGGATTCAGTGATTTGTTGCAGTGAGTCTGCCTGAGTGCATCTTCTAGGAGTTATGATTTCTTATCATTTTAAGTTTCAAAGTTATAATGTTAGACTCATCACTTAAGAGGCAGGCAGTAATCCTTTTAAATGTAAATGTAATTCCCCTGCTCAAACACACTCAGTGTTCCATTTACATTGCTTTCCTGATAAAACAAGTTCTTACTAACTCAAAGACTTAGAATTACCTGATCCTGGCTCCCTGTTTGATCTCATCTTTCACCTCCAGCCACTCCCCTCCTCCCTCCTATAGATGATTACCAAGGCTCAGGGAGTTCTACCCTGACAACTATTCCAAATATGGCTTTCCTGCCACTTCCCACACTCTTTCTTCCCTTGAACTTGTTTTATTCAACTCACCACAAGCTGACAGCCCATGTATTTGTTCATTTTTACATTGCCTTGTTCCCTACCCATAAGAGTATATAAGCATTATAATGATATTGATTTGGGCTGTAAATATAGTTAATATAAGTTGCTTTCCAATGCAAACAGTGCTTGGCACATAGTAAACACATACATATATACTTACATATATATATGTACATACACGCATGCACACACACACACACACAGACATATGTGTGCATACATCCTTAGTCGCTCAGTCGTGTCTGTTTTTTTTTTTTTTTTTTGCAACCCTATGGACTGTAGCCCACCAGGCTCCTCTGTCCATAGGTTTCTCCAGGCAAGAATACTGGAGTGAGTTGCCATGTCCTCCTCCAGGGGATCTTCCTTATCCAGGGATCGAACTGGCATCTCTTGCATCTCCTGCATTGGCAGACAGGTTCTTTACCACTCGCACCACCTGGGAAGCCAATATAAACATATATGGATATATATATGTGTGTGTATATATATGGTAAATGAATACATTTGAATGAATGTCAGGATAAATGTCAATTTTTGGCTTGATGGTAAATAGTCTACCTTGTTATGTTACAGAAATCACTGCTTCAAGTTTGAATTCACAAAAATGCCCCATCCTAAACCTTCTGTAACATCCCAACCAGAAGCGGTAGCTTTCTTCTCTGACCCACGCTATCTAATTCTAACATGATTTATAGCTGTATGGACTTGGGTTTGTTACTAACAATGATCCTGAGTTTCTTCATCTGAAAAGTGGATAGTACCCTCTCTCTCATGTTGTATGATAAATGAAGATAAATGAGATAATCCAGGCAGTGTGCTTGACTTGGGCTCTGTACAATTCTTCCATAAATGTTGCCTATAATTTTCAACTAATTTACAGGCTCTTGAAGAGCAGACCTCATGAGTGTGGACAAGGAGACAGGCTAACCACCTTCTTCCTCCTATGCAGTAGTGAAAGCTGAGGTCAGTGTATAGGATGCATTTCTGATTGTACACATGGAACTGAGTCTTGACATATATTTCTTAACATTGATGATTGTATAGCTTCCAGTAACTCCAGAAGTGTGGGAATATCCTACATACATAAGGACTAGAGAGTTCATTTCAGCCTTGAAAATATTCTGAATCTAGGCTCTGGTTATTGATGATTTTGGTCGCTCTTCTACAGCTGAGAGAAGGATGGTATGTTGGTTTTTGGGCTTAAAAAGATATTCAAATGTAACTTCATCTGATTTTTTAAATTTTAGCCCTGCCAGAATAGAAACTCAACCTTAACCCATCATCATTACCAAGAATGACTTTTGAAGCCCTCCTATGGATACTCTGTTCAGGATGCAATAATATACCGTATGTCTTCTGAGTCAGTTAGAAAAATGAGTTAGAGAGAGGCTGGAGGGGAGTCCCTGACTCAGAGGACAGGAAGATGCAAAACCAGAACAGACAACAGAGGACCTCTGGAGGAAAACTGAAATGTGCCACAGAGAATCCAGAAGAGATTCCTGCCTGTTTCCTGATAAAATACTCAGGTCTTAGGATCAAAGCTGCACAAGATTCTACTGGCTCAAGCCACTGTTGCTTTGTCTCCCTAGGATATCTCACCGTCACACGACTTTAATCAAGACATCGGTTATAAAAGAAGACCTAACTGATTCTTCAACGGGAACAAATGAATTCAATCATTCTGAGGCTGCAGTGTGACTTAAGCTAATTAATACCTAGGCTTTTAATCTTTGTCAAAGAGTACTCCCCAGTGACCCTAATTCCTCACCCTTGGTCCAAAGGTAGCATGTTTTCCACATTCAGGTGTATGGATTGGATGAATGCACTTCCTCTTATTCATGACATGACTGATGGGGGTGACTCCAACTTAATTATTGGATATGGAAAATTCACCAGCTTTCCAAGTAACAGCCAGGTTCTATAGCACTTACAAGGGCATCCTCCTCTTTCAGAGTCATAAACCACTTGTCGTGGACCCTTCTCTTCCAAACTTGCTACAACAAAAGCAGTATATATATGTCAATCTCTTTGATATATTGAAATGTATCACTAACTCCTAGTACATATTTTTATAGGTGAGTATAAGTTAACTTTTTCTGTATGTAAACACTGTCACTTCATGATTTCTCAAGGTTAGGTAACAACAACCTCCCCAACCAAAGAAAAAACCTTTCAAAGAATTGTCTGTACACGATTTAGGCTAATTAAATAAACATAACTCCTGGTGTCTCAGAATTGTGTCTAAATAGAAAATATTGATAAAAGAAAGCATATGGAAAGACCTAAGGCTTTCTCTTCATTCATTTAAAGAAGATATTACTGAACATTTAATTTGAAGCAGGGGCTGTGCAGATGCCTGCAAGTAACTGGCTACCTGGCAAAACAGATGTGCTCACAGAGGCACAGAACAAAACAGAAGGTAACAAGCACCATGTTGGGCTCATAAGCAATGCAAAAGGGGAAAGCAGAGAAAGGAAAAAAAAAGACTTTCATGGCAACCAGCCCGAGTTTTTGGTTCCATTCATCACAGTGGTAATTACTTACTCAGTGTCTGTTTCTCTTCTAAAAAGTGAATTCCGGGAGGGCAGGGGTATGTGCAATGTTTCTCTGTTGTATTACCAGCACCTAGTTTTAGGAACAGATTTCACAAAGATCTTCAGCCTGGGTCAGCCAGGGTAACACAGACCTCGAAAGCTTCCCCAAGATCCCCTTTGACATACCTTTCAGAGTAAGTGCTCGGGGGATTGTGGGGCTGTTGACAGTTACTCTCACCAGATAGGCACATAGCCAGAGTCCACAAGGCAGTTGGAAGAGGCCAAGAGGGCACAGAATAATCCCATGGGAATGGCAAATGAGGCTCCTTGAAGCACCTGATGAAATTCTCACTTCACTCAGCCAGTGGAGATTGCAGTGGGATATCTTCATGGGAATTGGTGGTCAGGGATGTTTGCCCTTTTCAGAAAGCTTATCCCACTCAGCCCACTGGTTTATACAGCTGTGCTCCTAGAGTCAAGTTCATCAATCCTTTACTGACAATAAAGGAAGTTGTATTCTTTTCCTTTACATGTTAATAGTTTCCATCAGGGTCAGCCACAACTTACTAGTACCAATCCAGATACTTAATTAAATGTCCAATGAGCAGTTTTCAGATACATGTGTATTAGATAGATACATTTTCTGATTATACATATATTAGAAGTTTAAATAATGTAAAAATGCAATGAAGACTTAAAATCTACTCAAACTCTGACATGCCAAGTGAAATTTATAAGACATTTAATTTATGTTATTCTACATATTTTCTGTCTACACATATGAATATGCATAAACAAACAAACAAACAGTGCCCCAGGAAAAATGGGGACTTGCCTGGTGGTCCAGTGGTTAAGACTCTATGCTCCCAACGCAGGAGACCCAGGTTTGATCCCCGGTCAGGGAACTAAATCTGACGTGTTGCAACTAAGACACAGTGCAAAGTAACAATTGTGCTTCCCTGGTGGTTCAGCGGGTAAAGAGTCTGCCTGCAGTGTGAGAGAGCCGTGTTCGATCCCTGGCTTGGGAAGATCCCCTGGAGAAGGAAATGGCAACGCCTGGAGAATTCCATGGACAGAGGGAGACTGGTGGGCTACAGTCCATGGGGTCACAAAGAGTCAGACACAACTAAGTGACTAATGCTTTCACTTGCAGGAAAAATATGTCCTCCTTTTTCAAAATATTCTAAGAAAAATATGACATTTGAGAGGGAAACTGGAGTTTATTTAGGAGTAACTGTTTCATTTATGATCATCCAAATGTCTCTGACATTTCTTTACTGTTTGATATGTCAAATGTTAAGAGAGATGTACTAAAGCCTCTTACAATGATAGTGGTTTCCAGAATTTTCCAGTATTTCTAAACAACTTCTTGATATCTATAGTGAAAACACTGCTGGTTATTCACCTTAATTATTTGTTGTGTGACACTGCTTGGAAATGTCACTGAAATCAGTATTGCCATCCCTATTATATTTCTCTTTGACTTTGGTGAATATTTATTTTGAAACTTTTCTGTAAAGTTTAGATACATCTCAAGCAGTTATTTAGTTTACAGTTGTTTCCTCATTTGTAAAATGGGAACAAAAGCAATACTGAGTTTTCTGAGAAGACAAAGTAAACCAATATATGTAAATTATTCATATAGATCTGGCAATCAATTAATGTTTACAGTTATTACCCTGAATGTGGACTTTGCTCATTTAAAAAATATTTTACCTTGATAAGTTTCCTTGAGGGTCCTTGCCTTTTTGTATGTGATTTGAATCCTTTCCCTTTATTATTGGGCTTCCCTGGTAGCTCAGCTAGTAAAGAATCTGCAATGCTGGAGACCCAGGTTTGATTCCTGGGTCAGGACGATCCCCTGGAGAAGGGAATGACTACCCACTCCAGTATTCTTTCATTTCCCTGGTGGCTCAGCTGGTAAAGAATCTGACTGCAAATCAGGGAGATTTGGGTTCAGTCCCTGGATTGGGAAGATACCCTGGAGAAAGGAAGCTATCCACTCCAGTATTCTGACCTGAAGAATTCCATGGACTGCATAGTCCATGGGGTCACAAAGAATTGGACACGACTGAGCGACTTTCAATTTTCTTTATTATTAGAATTTATTTGGCTAGTTTCATGTCTTTAATTTTATTTAATGCTTTGAAATAATTTTCGTGCTAAGTCGCTTCAGTCGTGTCCAACTCTTTGCCACCCCGTGGACTGTAGCCCACCAGGCTCCTCTGTCCATGGGATTCTCCAGGCAAAGAATACTGGAGTGGGTTGCCGTTTCCTTTTCCAGGAGATCATCCCAACCCACGGGATCAAACCATGTCTCTTATGTCTCCTGCCTTGGCAGGAAGCTAGTGGCTTCCTTACCACTAGCACCACCTGGGAAGCCCAAAATAACTTTATTCTCTTCATTTGCTTTCTTCAACTCTACTGATCATGTTAATTTGCGCTTTTGTAGACAATTAGAAAGTATATATCCCATTTTAAAGATATGGTTACACTAGTGGTTATTTTTGAGTAATTAAGAATATGTTTTAAACCTTTATTTCTATCGTTATTAAACAGAAAAAGATTTTTTATTTGCCTTCTATAAGAAACAGTTTTGCATACTTTGTCTGCTTTACTGCCATTTTATCATCAGGTTATATTAGTTTTGGAATTTAGATGTCAATTGTTGCTATCAATGATGACTTTTATATAGTCTCTCAATAACAATTTGTGATGTCTGCTTTCCTTTTCTTAACATTATTTATGATAGTAATTCAGTTTTATCCCTTACCAATTTCTGTGCTAACTGCCATCTGTTTTATAAAATACTTTCCTGTTATTGAGTCATTGATCTTAACTCATTTCAGTGTTCGCTAGAGAATGTCTTCAGCTCTTTCTCCCCGGTGTAACCATGTGGGTGGTTTGTTTTTTCTGAAACTTTGCATTACTTTAGAAATCCTTTCTTTTGGCTTAATACATCAATGAAAACTTGTAAATTATAAAATTTATGGATCACAAGCTTCTCTTTCATCACAGTTTTGTGACTATTTCCTTAATATATTCTGGTATTTGATGTGATAGGAAAGCCTAATGATAGTCTAATTTTGTCCCTTACTGCGCATCTTTTTGCTTCTTTTTAAAAAAATATTTGAGTGTAGAATTTTTCTCTATTATTTTAGTTAATACTTCTCCACATGAAGTGTCTAGTTTTATTTTTTAATGTTCTACCTCAAATACTCAGATACCCTTTTATCTAACATCTTTAGACACATTTTGTGCTAAATTTTCTCTTCAAACATAAAATTGCTTCTTCCCCTGTCCAGTTGTCCTGGTCCCCTCTGTGGGGCTGCATCTCAGGTGTGGGAGTTTTTTATTCCCTCCACATTTCTCGACATCTGTTCCATCATTTCATCCTCCCAATCCCCCTCCTGTACTTACTTCCCCTGATACATAAACCACTCTCAAGGATTCACTATTGGAGTATAGCTGATTGACATTATGGTGATAATGTCATCTGGACAACAGGGCAACTCAGCATACATATATCAGTATCCATTCTCCTCCAAACTCCCCTCCCATCCAGGCTGCCACATAACTTTGAGCAATGTTCTCTGTGCTATACAGTAGGTCCTTGTTGGTTATCCATTTTAAATATATTGCTATGTACATGTCAATCCCAAACTCCCTAACTATCCCTTCCCCCCACCACTACCCCCTGGAGACCATAAGTTCATTCTCTAAGTCTGTGAGTCTGTTTTTGATTTGTAAATACATTGCTTTGTATCATTTCTTTTTAGGTCTGCATATAAAGGATATCATAGGATATTTCTCCTTCTCTGTCCTACTTACTTCACTCAGTGTGACACTCTCTAGGGTCGACCCATGTTGCTGCAAATGGCATTATTTCCTTCTTTTTAATGGCTGAGATTTTTATTTCGATATTTTAATTCTTTGAAGTTTTACCGGTATTATTTTATCCCCTGATTATATCCGCTTCTTGCCTTTGCATCTCACTCAATTATTTTATACTAGCATGCTTCCCTTTTATATCATTCTGTTATTCCTCTATAGCCCTATGGTTTCTGTTCTTTTCACCAAGGAGACCATGGATTCTTGCCTTTCACTAATGATGTTGTAATAGTTTTTTATTGCTTGGCCTTTATGCAATTCTGTCTCTGGTTTCGGGAATGCTGCAGAACCACTCTTTGGGAACTTGTTCCTCACATCCCACATTTTCCCCTTCATCAACGTGGTCCAAATAGAAGCTTTCATCTTTAAGCTTACGCCTCCTTTCTCTGTGACCTTCAGCCTTCTGTCTGGCTGCATCCCTCCATACTATATGGATTTTTGGAAGTCCATGCTCCTAATGATTTATAATCCTGCCTATCATCTGACAGGGGAAACAGCATCCTGGTTTTTATTTTATGCTTCTCAGGAGCAGCTCAAGCACGAAACTGCCCTGCTTTTTCTCCCTCATCCAGAATTCTATTGAATTCTTCTTGTTATACTACAGCCCTCTTTATGAACAAGTGAGTTAAAAACCAGTGAATGAATGAGAAATGAAGTTTATCTTTACTTTCTTCCATGTTGGCAGGGCTACTCCAGCTTATAAAGTTTCATCATAAGCCAACCTGTTAGAGAATTTCTTAACTTGGAGTCATCTGCCTGCAGTTTCATGAAAATCCTGCTCATATT